GTTGACTTTGTACAGTCCCAGAGTTTTCGGCACCACCCTTAGCACTTAGCAATAAATCGTTCAACCTGTAGCCTTATATGACCAGTTTTCCTATCTTCTTCTGTTCCAATATCTCCCAAATGGGTCTACCTTAAAGTGGGTTTAGTGAGGTACAATCGACTTATTCACCAGTTTTATAACCCATCCAACCCACCGCAATTGGTAGATACACTCAATCCATCTTTTATAAATTGGTGCCGTCTGTCCCTGTAAATCATCATTTTTTCTGACCCTAATAAACCAAGGTTTTGTATAAAAAGAGAATTGAGGGAGAAACAAATATGAGAATCACGATTTTGACAGCCTTCCCGATGATGGTATCTGGCAGGTTCCAGCAAAACGTAGGGGCTCGTCATGTGAATAACTTTTCGAGTACAAAGCGCGAAGAGGCGGCGTCCCAAAAATGTGTCATATTAGAAACGGTGTGCGATGCAGTCAAATATATCGCTACACCAACATTTACATCATTTTGGCCTTAAATTACAATATTAAATTTACGCCTTTTAAGCATTTATATTATTTTTTGTACCCACCCAACCCTCGAGGCGTGTGAATGTTTGAAGGAAGCATGGTTTACCAATCCATCAGCTTATGCTCTTGTCACAACGATGACTCTGGCTCGAAGCGGGACTCGAACTCTAAGTTTTATAACCTCTCCTTCTACTTTTTTCCCACTCAAGGTACTCCTGGCCAACGTGAAAAGGTCGACTGGTGCAAAAGTCTAACGGACCCAATGATGCCGGTCACAGATGATGACAATTACTACTACTTGTCGTATGATCAACGAAAACCTTGTCTATATCTTATCGCCTACTTTGAGGATCACAGAGCCAGGATGTGTGTACCAAACATCATTGAAAAGCTGCGAAACGATTTTGTAAGTTTCAGTCTTAGTTCATAATTCTTGTGCAACTTGTAATTCTGATATTTCACATGCTACTTTCAGTAGTCTCGTGTAATAAACTCACTCTTAAAGAGGATAACAGAAACCAGGATGGTGAAGTTCATCTTTGGGGTGGGAAAATCTTTTCTGATGCCTCAAAGAGGAAGCTTAAAGTCTAAAGAATGTACATCATCTTAAGAGAGTTAAAAAACGTAATAGGACGCCATAGGCCATGTGGAAATTCGTCATCATCACAAATTGAGAGCCTACCTGAATGCTCTAATGAGGTTCCTACTATAGTTTTAATTCTTTTTTAGGGATTCTGATACAGAGTATACATTTCTGAAAGCTCGGTGGCAGATGTAACTGTCGACGAAACTGAGCGGAACAAAAAATGTTTCGTAAAGCTGATGTGTATGCATACCAATACGATTCGAGTTTCTCTCAGACGGCCCCAAAACAGGCCTAGTTTTTTGCCTATTAGCATCATCACTCGATCCGAAATCAGTAGTTATGGTGTGTTTTGCAAAAGTTTAAAAATCATTTCTGACCGCCTAATTACTTATTATCGATCAGTGTTATTAATTTTGATTTATGATTTTGTGCACATAAATGCTTTTATACATTTATCACACACACACACACAAACCTACACAATCGTATACAGGCGGCAGGTCTGACAAACGTCCGATATCTGATCACAAAGCATCAGCCTGGCAACGCAAGACATTGCTTCCGAAGACACTTGCTTTCGTTCGCCGAAAGCCTGATAAAGGTCTCCTCTCAAGTGCGCTCCTGCCGTGGAACTGCACCAAAGACCCTGCTTGATCGCGAGTACCAGACAAAGGTGAGGAAGGACCTGTGCAAGATTCAGAAGCGCCTGCTACTTGCTGCAAAACAACTCTCGAAACACGACATGGGCTCCAAATTACGAGAGATGAACTCCATCGTGCGACACATGACAGAGCTTATGCAATGCGTAAGTTTGTTGGATCAGTGCAACATTGAATATTTCTGTTGAATGAGGCAGCCGAACAGGGAATTAGCCCTGAGTCTGTATCCGGCCTCAGCTGATTTGGTGACGTTTAGCAGTGGTATGGAATAAGGTACTTCAATAATACCGATTCTCCCGAAATGTTTAGGAAAGCTTTGGAATATATATACCGAACGTTATTAAGAATTTGCTCAGAAATATGTCTTTTGGCATGAGAGCTGCTTAAATAAAAAGAATAATAAATGACAAATTTCGGGTGAAAAGCGTAAACAACGAAAGGTAATCCAACAGAGGAAGTCTGGGCAAGAAAACAGTGAAGATATATTTTCGGACAAAAAACGAAGCCGTTAAGCAAATTGACGAGCAGCTGCATAAAATTGGCAACTGAAAGTATCCTCATCTTCAATCGTCATCGCTCTTTCGTAATGAGTAAGTTTTCGAGAATATCAGTAGATATTACATTCAATTCATGTCATTTTAGATGATGAACGAATGGTAGGGAATGTTCCCGCAAAATTAAACGTGTAGGCCAGTGAATTCCACTTGACTTTGACTGCGAAAATCTATTCTCATCCCGCCTAGACTGAACTAGACTGTAGCTTCGACACCCAGTGGGACTCAAACTTGGATACCGGTGGGTTATAAGGCATATATGAATTTAAAGTCTAGCCAGGCCTTTCTCATGTCACATTTTGTAGTATATTTTATTTACTATTCCACTCGAATGCATCACTTATATTCAGATTTAATAGGCGCCGATACTACCAGTTGACGATAGGAACTTTATCATCTTAGGCGACTTATTATACTTATGGTTCGTATGCATCATTTTCGGGATATTTTGACCTCCATACACATTCTATTTTGTCTTTCTAACCTTTTCCAAAGGAACGCATTAGCATTGAGGCAGTCATAGATTGTTTATATAAACTTCACACATCCACTTTTCCTGACATCTCATACTCCCATTTTGTGCAATTGTAGGACCTACTCTAATAGACGATGTATTCAGCCTATTTGCTTTAAGGTGACAAGAGGACTGATAATTGAATTGTCTCACTATCATATAAGGAGCCTTTACATTTGCGCTAAATTTCAATAATCTCTGCCTCCCAAGAAGAAAACACTTATCCAGTTTCCAAATCTAAACGAAGATAGATAACTTATATACATGAGATATATATATATATATTATTTTGTTCAAGGTGTTAAGTGGACTGGTAGTGGAATTTTTCAACAATCGCGTAAGTAGACCTTATGCTTCTATTGAACTTCACATTCTCATTCCGACTGAAGTGAACCGTAATTTCGACCTGGCCTTAACTGCTTTCATCAACACCCTCAGCGGGACTCGAACCCAATTTTGTGGAAGTGCAGCATATTACATCGTCACGTTAACCAATGCACAACATTTCATCGAGCGCTGTTGGATCGCAGTTCAGATGTACATTTCATAAAAGAGCAGGCATTTTCTCATATCCCATTCTGTGGTGGGCTTGTCGATAACGAAGGGTTGTACTTGCTATAGCACTCTCTTAACGATAAGAAGGTTTTGATATTCTATCCGGTCATGAGTGCTGATAGGACGGTGCGGTGAGGTCAAAATCATAGTCAAACCGGGATAAGATGACATATTGGGAAGACAATTCAAATTATATTATATATATATATATATATATATATTTCGGTTACCTATTTTGGTTAAGGTGATATGAAGACTGTAAATGTCGAAAACTTGCATGCAAACGAAAAATGTTGTCTATTTAACTATTTCTGATATGGACTAAAAGTGGCTCCAAATGCCTTTTTTAAGCCATATGTATTGTGGGAATGTTGATGAGGCAAGTTTTCAATTACAATCAACTATTTTACTTATTCTAGATGTGAATAGGTTTTGAGGTTATCAGAAAGGCTTGAAAACGAACTTGCCATAAACTACTCATATTAAAAATAAGTAGCTTCGATAACTTGCTTTAGTTAGGACTATCAACCATAAATGTAATTTTGAAGAGCCCTTCCATGCCTCGTGAAACCCGTCAATCTCATGACTCGATATTCTATCCGGTTATGGGTGCTGATAGGATTGTGTGGTTTGGCCAAAACCACATTAATATCGAGATAAAATGACCTCTTAAGAAGATAATCTAAATTATATTTAATAACCTCATGAGACGCCTATTCATTCTATTATGGGTAAAAATCACCTCTTCGTCCTTTACTCGTCCTAAACAGTCTAGAGTAATCAAATGAGTAAAGAAATGGAGTGATTGTCGAAGAGATTCGAAGGTCGCTTCCACCAGAAGACGGCGGCCGATTCCTCTTGACCAGCTGTCGATTAGCTTTACTGGAACATGCATGCAGACGCTGTTTCCGAGGCAATCTCCTTCGATTCCGATGAAAACGTGCTACGCTTTCGTCCGTTATGTGACG